TGTGACACCACAGCACTCTACCGAGGGCAACATAATAAGACTCTGTCTCACAAAAAAAAAAAAAAAAAAACCACCATGATGTTGTATGGAAAGACTCGATACTATAAAAAATGTTTATTTTTCCAAATTAAAGATTTAGACACAATTCAATAAATTCCAAAGGAGGAGTGACAAAATTATTCTGAATTTCTGTTTTAGAAAAGGCAAAAATATCTAAGAAAATTTTGTGAAAGAAAACTAATGAGAGATTTTTCCATACCAGCTACTAAAATACATTTTATAAAGCTACAACAAATAGTATGATGATATTGGGCCCTATAATTAATGAGTAGATCTCCAGAAGAGACTGCTTTGAGAAATAACATTCAAATATATACTATAATTGCTAAATATAATAGCTAAATGATCATAAACCAGTAGGGGAAGGAGTATATAATTTAAAAAATGATGTCGGGGAAATCAATAACCTCTTCCTGGACTTTAATCTGAAGTCTTTCTGCCGTCTACAAGGCTCTCAATATTTTGGATCCTTCTATAATACTTTTCCAACTTTAATGTAATTAACTCTTTTGGCTGTCCCTGTGCCAACCTCCTAAGCTACCTTTCTGACTGTCAAACACACTAATCTTGCTCCTGCCTGGACTCTTGCTGTGCTCTCTGTCTGGGGGCCCCTTCATGTTCAAAGGTCACTTCCTGACAACTACTGCTCACAGGGCAACCTCATTCTGACACCAGGCACTCTCTCTTAATGGTACTGGCCTGCTATATAACTGTTACCTTATATATCTTTAACATATAAGGTAACAATTACATAACATGTTAAATAAGGTAATTTCAAAGAAATTGTTTGTCTTTCTAACTAGAGACAAGTTCCCTAAGAGTAAAGTCCTTACTTGTTTCTCCTGAGTCCTCAGGGTCAAGAATAACTCTTAGACTTACCAGGAGCTTAGAAAATTTATATATATATGTGTGTGTGTGTGTGTGTGTGTGTGTGTGTATACATATATCTGTATATCTAGGTATCTGTATATATATACATGTGTATGTATATATACAAAATCAAGGATCCCGAATTATCCAGCACTTATTTGTCTTTCACACAATAACTCTGTATTAAATGTACATATGAACAAATGTTCACCATAATAAATTTAGTAGAACAATATGTTCATTTACAGATATATTAATAACAATGAAAGATCTATTGTTATTATCATCACATAACATCATCATTTAATTATAATCTTATCCTCAGCACTTATTTTTATCATCATCATCACCTTCACTGTAAACAGAGCATGGCTAAGTAAGCTCTCAGAGCTGACTTTCAATCCTAACTGAATTTATACCCTATTTTTTACCCATTGTGAGTCCTACTCTCCCTGCAAATCCAAGGGCCCCAGAGTAAAGCAAGATGTGACTAATGGTCAAATTAGTCCCCCAAATGAGGGAAGATAAAACTAAATTTCCCATCTGAACAGAATCTGGGTGTTCCTTGTCTGACCTTGTTCCTGCTTCCCTCCTCCCCCCACACCACCTCCCATTCTGCATGGGCAACCCCATCTGCTGACATCTGTCATGCTTGAGATCCCAGTTGTCCTCCCACTCCCCCACTGTGGAATAGGAAAAAAGAGACTGCTATAAAGATCACAGAGTGAGAGAAAGCACTTTGCTGTTATTGAAATAAAATATGGAAGACAAAAAATCTGTTAAATAGAATCAAAATTTAGAATTTGAATCAAATAAGATCTGAGAGCTATAGAGTATCTTCCAAAAAGCAGGCTATAAAAGATGCGTTCTTTCTCATTACATGTGTTTCATATCAAAACAACCAACCATAGTCCACACCTCACGTCTGCTTCTTTGTCTGTGGGGGAGAGAGGGATGGTTCTTCTTCAGGTACCCTGTTGTAAAAGGTTTAAAGAGTACTGCTGAAAGAAAATTTTTTTTCAATATTCCTGCATTGCTTTGGGCAGTTTAATTATCTACTTGAAGAACAGGGGAGAGATTTACCAGAAAAACTTGGCCTGAATTGCTTACATGATACAGTTAAACATCTTTATTGAGCCTTTTTCTTTCTGAGGAATGTTTCACATTAAAGTATAACACCCATTCCTGACCTATGGAAAGGTCTGACAAAGCCTCAGGACTAGTTTGGCCAGGCCAGGCCATATGTTTGGTTTTATTAATACATCTGTCCTCAAGAGTGAAATTTCACAACTATAACCCCATGAAGAAAAATTGCTTCCTATCTTTTTCTTCATAATTTTGACAAAACAGAAATAGGCTGTGCTTTATGTTTTTAACCTTTCCATTATTTTTTATCCTTCTCCTATAGAAATTACTAATCATTGAACTCTTGTATAATCTAGTTATAGATAACCTTATTTAATGAACATTAAGAAGAAATATTATGTAGTGATACTTTTTCTTTTATTCCAGTCTAAAAATACCTGCAACTGGAATCCAGCAACACAAAGATTTGTTTAATTTGCTTCCAGTTTAAAAAAAATAAAAATTCTACATGTTGCACAGCCCCAGATTTGCTTCATAAGAAAAGAAGCTTTTAAGGAGAATATTCAATTTTTTATTTTCCTGCTCCTTAACCAACAGAACCACAAGAAAATACACAAACTGAACCCATGAAATAAAAACATTCTACATAAAAGATGAAAATTTTGCATCAAATTACAATTTTTTATAGCATAAAGAAAAGAGCTACCTGCCACCTATGTTGAATATAGATCCCAGGCAAAAAAAAAAAAATGAGCACACTCTCTGCCCAGACAACCTCCATTTATGGTATTATTTTATTCTTTATATTTATTGTCATCTCAAATATACACCAAAACAAGAAATATATCCAACTGAGAGGTTCTTGCCAATATCTCAAAAGAAATTGTTTTATTGTCCATATTCTAAGTTCTATGCTCTAATAAGTATGAAAATATGTTTTTCATTCAGGAAGATAAAATTTTTAGACTCAGATTTCTCTTAAAACAGTGAGGCAGTTTTGGCACAATGAACATGAATATCCCTTCCTGGTCTGAGTACTGAGTGCCAAGGAGTTACAAATATCAGGGACCAGAAAACATAGGGGAATATCCAATAGGAACAAAGATTTAAAAAATGGATGGTGAAGACTCATTGGAATAGAAACCTAGGAATGATTTTCCAAATAACACTGAGATACATACACACACACACATATATGCTAAGCTATCAGAAGCTAGTCCCAAGTGTTTATCTTTCTTTTCTTTTTTGCTGCTCGCTCTTCCTCATCTGGTCACCTCATCTGTGTCTCCTGGCTAATCCTAGCCTCTGGTTTCTGAGTCACTATGACTTCCCAGCCTACATCTTAGCCTCTCTGCTGTGCTCCTGGATATACCAATGAAAGAAGGAAAATCTCTGCCCTCAGTGAGCTTATATTCTAAGGAGAGGAAAAACAAGTAAACAAAATAAATAATTTACATACAAGTAAATACAATAATTTACATACAAGTAAATACAATAATTTACATATAAGTAAATAAAATAAATAATTAAAATCTCAAGTATTAAATGGCCTATGTCAATGCTGGTATTCAAACATGTCCGACCGACAAAGATGGCAATGTCATGGGTCAATGTGTACCTTAAATGGTGAAAAATACTATTTCTAAATGAAGCAGAGAAGAAGAGGTAGTAGGGTAGATGAGGGAGTGAGGGCAGAGAGGGTTACTGAGCATTTGAAATGTGACTAATATAACCAAGGAATAGAATTTTTAATTTTATTTAAAATAGTCACAAGTGGCTAATGGCTCCCTATCCAGATAGCACATACCTAATTCCTGCCTCTTATATCCTTTTAAAAATTAACTGGCAGTCTTCTATCTAGCTGGTTCCCTAATATAGACAACTTAGGTTCAAATTCTGACTCTCAAATCTACTTGTCTGAACTTCTGACTTCAAACTTTCTTCCAGAACTATTATATAGTCACTTTCAGCAAAGCCATGGCCCAATGCTGCCCAGCACAGAAACACAGGCCTGCCAGAACCCTGGTCTCTCTCCATTTGCCCATGTGGGATAGAAACATTAAAAAAAAAAAAAAAAAGTGAACAGATAACTAATTAGATTTGTTAAACACTATACTTACCCAAAGGCAAGAGATTAACTCCAATAATTTATCAAAAGCCCCTACCAAACCTAAAATTCTAGGTAGACAAATGACTATTTCCAAAATTACGTTGTATTTACAGAATAATCCCAGTACCCTAAACCTCACAGAAATCCACAACCAAATCAAAGCAAATAATGAACACCAAGCATTATTTAGCACCACGGATCATGTAGTGAGTCCTCTGAACCATTAATCAAAAAATGTAACTTTCTCTTTTCTTCCATACTTAAAAAAGACACTACAATACCCAAAATATTATTTTTACCATTCATTGTCATTCATATGAAATTCAGGTCATACATACTCTTAACAAAACACTATAGTAGCTCTTGCCTTCCATTTTACATTCTCAGATGTATACAGTTGTTCAGTTGCAAATAAACATCTATTGTTATTTGTCAGACTTTATAACTTACAGTCAATAGATATAGTTTTTTTTTTTTTTTTTTTTT